GTTTAAGGCGTCAGTACTTAAATCGATGTGTCGATCTGCCCGGGTTTCGAATCCCGCGGCCGGTAGACCGTAGATTAGCTATGCTTGTACGGAGGATTGGCACCCTCTGTGCAGGTATGGTAGGGTGGAAGAATGTTGGCTTGGGTCAATGTGAGAGATTGACACCGGTTGGCATTTGACCACCCCCCTAATTAATGAGGTTTTCCAGGTTTCCCTCATTCCTGCACTGAATGGTGGTTAGGGCCTACCAACATAAGTCGTTCCTGGGCACAAATGCGGCCTGCTTAATAATAATATGCCGCCTCCTCTCCACACAAGTCTCCGACTTATGGGCTAACTGTCGTAATTAGAATGAGGAGTAGAGATATTATTATTATTATAAAATATAACAAAAACTGATTATTTCAAAACTCTTCGAAAATTCTAAATACGCTAAAATATGTCGAAAACATAAAAAATATTTAAAGGTATTTATTTTCTCAGATGGAAAAGGTCAATGGCTAAAGGTTAAATACCAAAGTCGATGGCAAGGCGTCAAAGGTCGTTGACCAATGGGTAAGAGTCAACCTATTACCCTCTCAAAAGTCAATAACCGGACATGAAAGGTTAATGATCTTTGACTTGACCTTTGGCCTTTAACATTCAAAGGATATATCAATTCCTTCTTAGACAGATCAGATTATTAAGGTTTTTCTTCATTTTTTGGTCGATAAAAGAATTAATACGATTGCCAGTATCTGTGAAGGGAAATTTATATTTAAATGAAATGTGCTGTACGACTTCAGGAAATTATTATGACAATGTAAAGTCATTACGGACTAATTGGGGTGTAAAAGTAAACTTGGCAAGTGATTTGAATAGTGAATTTTAATAATATAGAGGTATGTGTCCTACAAAGAAGTACTGAATAATTAATAAAATTTTATTTTGAAAATACATACAGGGTGTAAGAAGTTTACTTACATTACTTTAGCATGAAGTAGAGTAATCATAAATGAACAAAAAAGTTGCATATTACAGGGACGTTAGATTAATTGTTTTCAAAATACAACGAGTATTAATATTGGGGAGTTTCATCACAACGTGACAACAGCGCTTAACCTGTTGATGCACACCACGTGTACACGCGGCAAACTACAAAACAAACTACAACATATGCTCAAAATGTCCACCACCATTTTCGATGTACGCACGACACCTTCGAATCCAACTTTCGCGCACTCGCTGGAAAACACATCAAGAAAAGGAAATAGTGGTACGCAAAAACACTCAGACACGGTCCAATTCCAAATACCAACTGAATTGCGTATTGCTGGACAGCTTAGTACCTCGTGTTAATAAACCGCCGCGCCGTTGTCACATTGCCCGATATGGATTTTATCGAATTTTAAATTTATTACAACGCTAATTACTTTTTAGAATTAAACATAAAGGAGTTCAAAAAAGCGATAAACATTGTATTTTATGGTATTCTATGCACGGAGTTATGTCAATATTCCTTAATTAATCGAGCTTTTATACCCCGTGTAGTTATAAGGTTTTTTTGTTTATTTTAATGTATTGTATCGTCTGTTAAAATTAAGGCAGCCAAACTTCTAACACCCTGTATATGTTATGTACGTAAAGTACATTCACAGATTTAAGAGAATGTTGACGTCATNTGAGAGATTGACACCGGTTGGCATTTGACCACCCCCCTAATTAATGAGGTTTTCCAGGTTTCCCTCATTCCTGCACTGAATGGTGGTTAGGGCCTACCAACATAAGTCGTTCCTGGGCACAAATGCGGCCTGCTTAATAATAATATGCCGCCTCCTCTCCACACAAGTCTCCGACTTATGGGCTAACTGTCGTAATTAGAATGAGGAGTAGAGATATTATTATTATTATAAAATATAACAAAAACTGATTATTTCAAAACTCTTCGAAAATTCTAAATACGCTAAAATATGTCGAAAACATAAAAAATATTTAAAGGTATTTATTTTCTCAGATGGAAAAGGTCAATGGCTAAAGGTTAAATACCAAAGTCGATGGCCAGGCGTCAAAGGTCGTTGACCAATGGGTAAGAGTCAACCTATTACCCTCTCAAAAGTCAATAACCGGACATGAAAGGTTAATGATCTTTGACTTGACCTTTGGCCTTTAACATTCAAAGGATATATCAATTCCTTCTTAGACAGATCAGATTATTAAGGTTTTTCTTCATTTTTTGGTCGATAAAAGAATTAATACGATTGCCAGTATCTGTGAAGGGAAATTTATATTTAAATGAAATGTGCTGTACGACTTCAGGAAATTATTATGACAATGTAGAGTCATTACGGACTAATTGGGGTGTAAAAGTAAACTTGTAAACCCAAACTTCTAATACCCTGTATATGTTATGTACGTAAAGTACATTCACAGATTTAAGAGAATGTTGACGTCAATCTAGATTTTTTGGGATTTGTTTAAATGGTGTCAACTCGAAGTCAGTAATTCCCTTACATTCGTTTTTTGGGTGGTTGGATCAGTTGGGTGAGTGAATATTATATTTTATTTATTTACATGCAACTCTTGTGTTTTAATTTTTAACATTTAAACATTTTTATGTGGAACATATCGATTAATATAACAAGCATATCAACTGAAAAGAGAAACAATATCCCAATATTTTTTTATTTTTAACACATGAATTAATCAAATGATACTCTTTGGGTCATTGACCCATTGCCTAATTGTTCGATTTAAAGCGACAAATCTACAAATACTGATCCAACGCCTTGCACCTACGCCAAATTCCATGTAGTCTTCAAGTCTCCCATCTCAAAATTAAATTAATTATCATAACAACTCATTTCTTATGGATATATGTTATTGGCAGATGCATGTTGAAATGTCTATTCATCCAATTAATTCTACACAGCTCAATGTCAAAGATTTTTTATTTTCTGCTATTTCGTATTCCCTTTTTAAGCATGTCACATGTCATATGGTCCTGTGATGTGATATAAATAATTAATTGTTGCACAGGATTTTTTTGGTTGTTTGGAAGTTTAGAAATGAAAAGGTGGTAATTTTTTTATCAAACAACAAATTATTTGCACAATTTTTACACTTTTTGCAAAATTACATGTCTTAATAAATATTAACGCTGCTAGGTATAAAATAATAGTGCAAAATAATATTAATTAAAAGAATATGGATGTTGTTGTTGCTCTGTATTTAAATTTAATTTATCATAACAAATGTCTGATAACGTTATATAATTCATATGTTAGATTTAAAAACCATATTGTCAAGTACTAAAATATTAAGTGCACAGTAAAAACAATAGACTTTCAGTAATGATAAAATATGTTTGTATAAACATTCTTCTATTACATGTTACTCATATACTATGGACTAACATCAGCATATGTCTCAGGATTGTACACATCTTTTTGATAATTAAATTAACAATATTAAAATTCAGCTCGACATGACTAAGCTGCCATAATTTCATATTAATAACGTGAGTTTGAAAAAATGAATTGTGTTATTGAATTAACTGGTATTATACTGACCACAGAAATTCTGTTGCAACCGCAATTGTCTATGAATGGAGATTCAGAACATACTAGGTAAGCAAATTTCCATTACTCATAAGTTAAATTTGTAATATACCATATCATTATTTAGTGTCTGTCGCTTGTTAATTGATTAAGTTAATAAACTTACAAAATCATTTTTTCATTTTTAAAGTACAGTTAAAGGATATTTATTTGGCCTGAGACCAAGAAATACCTGTGAAATAATAACAAACAGTTATTAGTAACTGCTTAAGGAAGGATTCAATTTTTTTATTCATCTCTTTGATTGATAAGTGAGCTCAAACCAGCGGAATGCAGTTAATACTTAATATAAGAGGATTAACAACTGGTTAGATGTAGATATAATCTTCAACACGTTATTATAAAAATCAGACTGATAATGCTCTAACATAAACTCTATATAGGGGGAATCCCTTGACCTTTAGAAATATGTAAGTTTGTTTTCTCAAATTTCGTCGAGAAAACTGAAAATTTTTATTTCCTTTTTTTTAAAATTTTTCATACTCCACCATTGGACAGGTTAGTATAAACTCGAATAATCTGGATAAGCGGTGTGGATTACTGTCAAATCTTATCTTGCTTGATTCGTTTACATATTTTTTTCATATCTTACAGAAATTTAACAATGAAGACACACAAACACATCGTACCGTCACTAAACACTGAAATAAATAATTGTATAATGTTATACAATTCCACTACAAAAAACACTTCCCATTTAAATAATACAATTTTTCATACATAAACATTTGAAAATAGAAAGGAATAATATCATTTCAAGATGAAAAAATTATTGAATTAATATTTATTTTAAAAATAATCTGTTCCCTATAATACGTTTTGTATCATTTTATAGAGGCTGTTCATTTTTGGTTACCATTTGTGAATCACCCTGTATATCAAGTCAGGTATTGGATAAATGGTAACAAAGTAAAACAAGTTGTAAGTGGTTTAGTGTTTTATATCTACAATTGAAGTTGTCCTTAAATATTGTAAATTTTGTGGATAAAAAAAATGGATTTTGAATAAAATGTGAGAAATGAAAGTAATTTTATTATTCCATCAGATGTTGAAGAAGCCGCAAATAGGGCAACTTTAGATCTGTTACCCCAGAAATCGCGGCAACAATGTGATATAGCATATAAAAGACTTATTGAATGGTGTAAAATGAAGAAAGTAGCAAGAAGTGGATCTTATTTGTGGAAGGGCGAAATGGGCGGTGACTATTAGACGCCTTCATTATAGCCATCTTTCTCTATCGCACCGATTTATATGACTTTCTTTATCGCTCTCACGTAACGGCCGATGAACCATGGGGACTTTCCGACCCTGTATAGTATTTTATTTTTAATACTAGTGTTGAAAGTTTTTTTACATTGCCCTTAAAAATGTAAAGCAACATTATGAAAGTCAATTTTTATTTCACTTATAAATGAATTAAAAATGCCATTCTTAATTACAATTTTATAATTTTTTTTTAATATCAGCGACAGATAATAAACAATCTCCAATTGGTTTAAAAAAAGGAAGTTCTGGACAAAAACAAGTTTTTTATGATAAATTTACTTTACAGGGGAAGTTTTAAGTTCAGTCACACATATTTTTGTGTAATAAATATTCTAGTTTGGTGAATTTTTGATTATTCGGAGATATGGCCGGTTTCAGAATGCAGAAGACGATGAAAGTCTCTGAAACGTATTTTTCTAGTACCTTTTTAATATGTTTCGAGCATCGAGAAGTTATTGCCTTGTTCTAAACTGGTGCGTAATTTTATTAGAAAGATTATGTTATAAGGCATCTAGAAGTTAAATAAACGTACGTATACTTTGGGAACTGATAGAAGAATTAATACAATGTTAGGTAACAAGCTTAGCTATTTATTATTCTCAAATTTCCACAAACATGTACAAAATGAAATAATTGAATTACAGCTTGGAAAAAAATATTTAAAAAAAAATGATATTAGTATATCTAAGCAACAAAACTAACACCATTAATTAAAACTTTCGATCTATTATACGATTCCGAGACTAAATTTTGAACTTCTACATTACTTTGCACGTTAGTAACGGTGGTACTATACATTCACACTGAACATCTCTTGGAGGGAGGAAATAGCTGACTTTCCTTTGGAATCCTTCCCCAAGTTTTAACGTTTTAGATCCAAATACACAGAAGAGGTCTGGAATTAAAAAAATTAAATCGTTAAAAGAAAAGACAGCATTATTTACGCCTCTTTGTCTTTATCTTGAAACTATTTAATATTTGCTTAAAAAAGGTGTTAATGTCACACATTTTAAAGAGCCGTAAAATGATTTGTTGGCATGTAATTATTTTTATCTGCTCCCACTATAGTAAATAGTTTTTAAGGAGATAAGTGGATTTTACCGTAGAAGTGGAAGTTGCTATGGACAACGGGAGTTAAGTGAAGTAATGCATATTTCATTAACAAATAAATAAAAATATTTGATGAACATTACATTTTAATAATTATAATGAATGAATATTTATAGTAATTGTACAGTTATTAGTTATTACATTTAGTAACAATTATAAAATCTGGATAATTATTCACATTTCTCTCACATGTATCCCAAAATGATTTGACCGCTCTATTTCAGTCACCGGAGGTTCAATGTTATCTGACTGATCCATTAAACCAGCATGATGCGACGTGCTACTAGAACCTGGAGTTTGAAGTGTCATTGTAAATAATCCTGTTGGCTATTTAATTTTTGTTACTTAAACTGTCAACAATATAACTTACTGCAATTGTGGCTGATTTCCACCCACCATGTCTCTTTATTGCTAATACATCAACTCTTGTAATTAGTCGGTAACGTTGCCGATATTCTTCGGAATGAATGTCCTGTATATGTTTCAGGATGTTCTAGTTCCAAAAACTAGGAATCATAGAAAGGGTATTCTTGCTGACTGGTTGGTTGTAACATCTACCTGCTTGATAACGCATCTTGATATACACTAATGGAAAAAATTAAGGGATCAAAAAAAAATCTAAATTTTCGGCGATTTTTCAAATGGCTGTATCTTTGATAAAAATGGTCGTATTGGAGTAGAAAAAAAGCAATTTGAAGCTTGAAGCTTCTAATTTTTGGATCTTGCAAAAAAAAAATTATTTTTTTTTCAAGTAACCGTATCGCGCAATCTTAATGAATTTCATGAAAAATTATTTTTCGAAATTTTTTTCGATCTTATTTTTGGTGTACGCACTTGAATTTTTCCAACTTAACCACCTTATGGATTAGATAGGTTGTTCATTTAGCTTCAATTTCTTTTTTTTTTTTAGGTCTCGATACGACCATTTCTGGCTGAGTTATCGGACGTTGAATGAAAATGGATCATTTTCTCTTTGTTCATCGATATCTCAGAAACCAATGGTTGCACAGAAAATCGACAGTGGGTTTCAGAAACTTGAATGAATTCTCTACAAGGTCCTCGCACGGTTTTTTAGAAAAAAAAAATTTTTATCCTTAACATGACTGAAAAATCGTAAAAAATAGGACTTTTAGGGGTATTCTAGAAAATCACGTGCCACATTGAGAATATTGGGAAAATGACTAATGTTAAGTGTGCCTTTTACAGGTCATTGTACCCCTAAAAGCCCTACAGAGTTTCAATTCGATCCATCAAGCCGTTTTTTNAGTGGAAAAAAATAAAGGATTAAAAAAAAATCTAAATTTTCGGCGATTTTTCAAATGGCTGTATCTTTGATAAAAATAGCCGTATTGGAGTAAAAAAAAAATTTTCAAGTAACAGTATCGCGCAATCTTAATGAATATCATGAAAAAATTTTTTTTCTAAAAAACCGTGCCAGGACCTTGTAGAGAATTCATTCAAGTTTCTGAAACCCACCGTCGATTTTCTGTGCAACCATTGGTTTCTGAGATATCGAAGAACAAAGAGAAAATGATCCGTTTTCATTCAAAGTCCGATAGCTCAGCGAGAAATGGTCGTATCGAAACCAAAAAAAAAAAGAAATTGAAGGTAAATGGGAAAAATTTTTTTTCATGATATTCATTAAGATTGCGCGATACGTGTTACCTGAAATTTTTTTTTTGCAATATCCAAAAATTAGAAACTTCGAGCTTCAAATTGCTTTTTTTTACACCAATACGACCATTTTTATCAAGGATACAGCCATTTGAAAGATCACCGAAAATTTAGATTTTTTTTATCCCTTTATTTTTTCTTTAGTCTATGTCTCGAGAACCCAGACGAGAAATAACTGTAAACGTTCGTGACATACCATTTTTAGAATCTAGAATTGTAACTACAATAATGTCAACAAAATTTTTGATCTTGACGTTGTCCAAAGTAAGTTTGCATAACTCATTAGCAAATATGTGTTATCGGGTGCCTGAACGAGAAAATTGTTAACTTGTTCTCTTGTATAATAAAAACTTTATAGGTCAGGGTATAGCCGTCATTATTACGTTTCAAAATTGCTCTCAGCTTGGGATATTTTGATATATTCACGTTCTCCTCTATAAAAATAGTTCACTTAATCTTTGAGTATTTACACCACAAACTAGCCGGTGACTTTAAAGTTCTTGACTTCTCCATGAAATATGCTAGCAGTGACATTTCAGAAACACCAGTATTTGTTTTCTGGCACCATTTTTTTGAAATTTCTATATGCTCGTTCGTAGCGCACTTTCGACTCGGGCAATAAAAATTCGCAGGCAACATTTGCTGCACTTTCTAATTGAAAATCACTCATTTAGAAATAATAATTCAAAACCAGCAAAATTGCAACTTTTATGTAGCTTTTATTGTTTATAACTAAGGTGTTTACCTTAGAAACGACAAAATCCAAACAACCAAGGCGACTTTGCAAGACTTCGAATATTGTCAAAATAAATTGATTAAGAAATGTCAAAAAATAAAACCTAATCTTTATTTCATGAACCATAAAGAACTATGGGAGCAGATAAAATGTTATACACCACGCAGCAGTCAAGTATAATTTACCAATAATACTCCTTTATGGTGTAAATAATAATAATAATAATAATAACTATATCAAGCGGTTTTCTTACCTGAGTTCGAATCAACATTGTTGTTAATTTTGGTGATATGGTCAGATTTATAGGTAGCTAAAACAAAAGTATATGGTTTGTTTTGTAATATTAATAATAAATAATGTTAACAAGAATTCCTTATGTATGGTTAAGGTATGGTATTTTGTATAATAAATAGCAATAGCTCTTACGTTTGGGCGTATCTATTTACGTTATTACTTCCTTAGGAGCAAAAATACAAAAGTTATAAAGATTTTTTTGAATTTGTAACGTTTTCTAAAAGACAGTAGTACATTATGATAAATATGACTGTTTATATTTTTACAAATTCCATTAGAATATAGGATGTTCCTTTCAACAAATTTAAAAGAGCATTTACAAATAATAACATAATTCAAGATAATTATATGACTATTTCTACGCCATAAAATGTAATCTGTAACAAATTGTAATTCTATAGATTCAAAAAATAAGTCTGTTTTATAATTTACAAAAATAAAATCTTACTATACAGTATTCTTAATCATATACGGGGAGTCTCATTCATATTTCAAAAAACTTGCGTGCAAGCTCCTCATGGGAAAATGATGGGGTTAAATCATATGATGTTTTTTTCTTAGACGCCTTGTTTTTGACATACAGTGTGTTGAAGTTGTTACTTTCCAAATGGTTTTTCTTAATTGTTTGTAAATCGGCTAAAGATAAACATGTTAAAATTTGTACACGAATACTGTGCAACTGTGCGTTAGGAATAATGAGCAAATGGTTTCTTTCTGAAAAGCAGTGTCGCCGATGCAGGTACTTGGAGGGTACAATCGAAAGAAAAAATATGTTAAAAGCCAAAATTTGTTACATTTCTAAACGATTTTGTAAACTCTACAGCATACTACAAAAAAAAGGTATACTTGTCGAAATTCGGTAGCATGTACCATTTTCGAGAAAAATTGAGTTGCATCTTTTTGCTCAGATACAGCGGCATAAGTACATTAACAGAATATTAAATTGAAAGAGGACGTTACCATTGAATAGGATGAAGACATTTAGCTACCAATAGTCTTTGCATTTAAGAATATAATTTTAATTTCTTACGTCTCATATGAAACAGTTAAATTGTAAAACATTTTAAGTTTAAGCTTGTTGTAAAGTAACATTAAAAAAAATTAAAATATAGAAATTATTAATTTATCTATCAATTACTACTAATTTTAGAGTTTGTAAACTACTACACTACGTCTACTGAAATAAACAATTGTTGCATGTACTGAATTTTTGATGGACATCGATACTTAAAAAAGTGATAAGAATATAATATTAGGAAGCAGACTCAGAGACAGACAGAACAAAATAGCTGGACAATTACATTAATGAACAAAACTCTAAATACTACAGTAGATGCTGAAATTGTCCCCATTTGCTTCTATGAAACTTCATTTTCTCGAAAATGATAGGTACATGCTCATGAATTTCGAGAAATATACCTTTTTTGTAACATGCTTTAGAGTTTACAAAACCGTTTAAAAATGTAACATATTTTTTTCTCGATTGTACTCCTGTATCGGCGACACTGCTTTTCAGAAAGAAACCGTTTCCTCATTATTCTTAACGCACAGTTGATATTTATTCGTGTACAAATTTTGACATTTTTATCTTTAGCCGATTTAAAGATAATTAAGGATAACCATTAAAATGGAAAGTAACAACTTCAACACACTGTATCTCGAAAACAAGGCGTCTAAGAAAAAAAAACGTTATATGAAGTACCCCCATTATTTTCCCTTCGAAGAACTTTCACATAAGTTTTTTTGAAACGTGAACAGAACACCCTGTATATCTACAAACTCAAAAAAGGAAATAGTTTTTAAGACGTAAGAGAAATTTTTTTTACGATTGTGTAACTGAAATGTACTGTTTATAGTCCAGTCGGTAGAGGCCGAAATGTTACTGTTGATGGTGACATTTTCTTGATAACTCGGAAATAACTACACAGGAATACTTTAAATGATGAGTACAATAACAGGCTAATTTGCTGACAAAGTATTTTATCAGGAAAAAAAATTATTAACAATTTAATCGTGAAAAATTTTTTTTTTAGTAGTTTTCTTTAAATAACTCAGCGGGATGACTTTGTACGAAAAAATGCTTAGGACATGATTTTGTTCGTAATAAAAATAGCTACAAAATGGCGGTGGTCCGATTACGAAATTTGCAATAACAAAGCCGTGAGATTGAAAAAACGGTATAAAACGCCAATTTTTTTAAGTTGCTGTAAAAATGTCAATTATAAACAAAAAGTGATAAAACTTTCGAAAACTATAGTTCAATATATATACAATAATGACGCTAAAGCCGAAAATCAGGAGAGCAAAACTTTTTGTTCTATAAGGTGTTATACATTCATCGGCATCTGAAACTCGAAACTTTGCCAAATTTGTTCGAAGCTTTGCTGACACTTGAAATTTGGTACACACATAGTGTAAATATGCAGAAACCAAAAGCAATTTGCAAAATTCAAGTATCTTCATTTTTGCAGTTTTGGTAAGGTTTTATACGTCACCCTAGTTTTATACGTCACCGTTTTTTTAATTTTTGGACGTATATTTATGTATATTTATAAAATATTCCATTACGGTAGATTAGCCAGCATAATTACCTACAATTTAAAAAAATATATATTTTCATCGTTTAGATCCTAAGCTACTTAACATTTTGCGCCTGTTAGCCGTAGTCGTACATTATTCAACATATTAACATAAAACAAAATCGTACGTGTGGGGTAAACCTTTAACTTTAAGTAAACAATTGTTTAAATTTACTGTTGCATATTTCTAATAGTATACAATCGCCGAAGAGCGGAGCTCGCGCTCGAAAATGAAAAGTTAAAGGTTTACCCCACACGTACGATTTTGTTTTATGTTAATATGTTGAATAATGTACGACTATGGCTAACAGGCGCAAAATGTTAAGTAGCTTAGGATCTAAACGATGAAAATATATATTTTTTTAAATTGTAGGTAATTATGCTGGCTAATCTACCGTAATGGAATATTTTATAAATATACATAAATATACGTCCAAAAATAAAAAAAACGGTGACGTATAAAACTAGGGTGACGTATAAAACCTTACCAAAGCTGCAAAAATGAAGATAATTGAATTTTGCAAATTGCTTTTGGTTTCTGCATATTTACACTATGTGTGTACCAAATTTCAAGTGTCAGCAAAGCTTCGAACAAATTTGGCAAAGTTTCGAGTTTCAGATGCCGATGAATGTATAACACCTTACAGAACAAAAAGTTTTGCTCTCCTGAGTTTCGGCTGAGTTATTGAACTATAGTTTTCGAAAGTTTTATCACTTTTTGTTTATAATTGACATTTTTACAGCAACCTTAAAAAATTGACGTTTTATACCGTTTTTTCAATCTCACGGCTTTGTTATTGCAAATTTCGTAATCGGACCACCGCCGTTTTGTAGCTATTTTTATTACAATCAAAATCATGTCCTAAGCATTTTTTCGTACAAAGTCATACCGCTGAGTTATTTAAAGAAAATTACTAAAAAAAAATTGTTTATGATTAAATCGTTAATAACTTTTTCCTGATAAAATACTTTGTCAGCAAATTAGCCTGTTATTGTACTCATCATTTAAAGTAGACCTGTGTAGTTATTTCCGGGTTATCAAGGTTTGACACAGGCCGAACCTCTACCTACTGGACTATTAATAGTCATATGCAACAACGAAAATCCGTTGTAATAATGAATATTAAGTATGAAGGGAAACTTACAGTTCTTTTTAGTTCATTATACATTTTTGTTTTTTTTATAAATATTAACAATAAATTTCATGCATAAGCAATATATTTATCGACTATATGGTGTTTTACTTTACACAAGATGGAAGAAAAACAAATATTCTAATAATAATTAATATTGACTTACGACAAACCCAAGTGATTGGACAACAAAGTACCTCTTTATTTAAATAAAGAGGTGCGCAATTGCTATGCACCTGGCCTATTCCGTCAAACTGAATACTGCACAAAGACCTCTTACAGAAAGGATGTTCAAAACGTCCGTTCCAGCCTTTACCACAAACACATTTAAGGCAGGTATCTTTTGGATAGAACTTTTCACCCTCTTTGTATACTTTTCCGTCTACGTGGCATTCTGCTAACGGGTTGTCTTCCGAAGCTAAAATCATTCAGAACGTGTAGGTGATTTTTATATTCTCGGTTTTTCAGCTCAGTTCACGGAAATTGTTGTTTACGGTACTAGCACAGACAATATAGCTTCGCTCCAGACCGCCCGTGGCAGTCTCTTCTGAGCTGGCATCCAACAATAATATTTAACGTGGTAACTCTTCTACTCGGTAATAGGTGGCAGTTCTAGCGGTTCCGGAATACAGCAGTGTTGCCAAGTGATAACTGGGCATACAAATAAATTTAATGTATTTAACTTTGTAATTGAAGGGTTATATGAAACTTATCTTTTGTTTGAAAATGACATTTGTGTTAAATGCTAAATAAATTAAATAAAGTTAGAACTAACACTATGAATTTAGCTAATTAATTATTTATTTTACATGAATTGGCATTGGAATAGAATTCAAATACTAGAAATTAATGTTTTTAGATGTGTGCATCGACTTCCAATTTGGTACGCGATTATGCTAAAAAAATTGCATCGAACAGGCTGTGTAAAAGTGTAGCGAATAACATATTTTTTACTATAAAAAGTCTGTTTGGAAATGAAAGAGAGTAATAAAACCCCGAGATAAGAACCGGCCATGGGCGTGGTAATATTTCGTTTCAGGTAATTATCGGGTAACACTAATGCTAACAGGTAATGGGTGTACATTAGTATATTTTACTGGATACATCATAGGGCAGGAGCCAGTGTGACAGATCAATCCAGTCTTAGAGCTGAATATACGAAGACGTGCTAGTGCAGTAGAGTAAAATTCGATTTCTGTTTAGTGACTATTGTGCCAGTGGATATAATATTGTTTGGGTAAAATGTCGAGCTTATCAGATTACGTACCTGCTAAACGCGTGAAAAGATGTGCGCTGTCTCAGAATGAGAAGAGTATTATATTAAATGTATTTAATGCATTGAAACACCAAAATCCTACCAACAGTGTTGACAACATCGTGGAAAAGGGTTCCAAAATGACAGGGATTGGAAAATCGACTATCTACAGACTTTTAAAGGGAACAAAAAATGAACAAGATACTGTAAATCACCCAAAATCATCTACAGGGAGGTCAAAAGTCGTTATAGATGATTTCTTCAAAAATGTCATTCGCAGAAAATACACTCATTTTATTTTAGAACAGAAATACCAACGCTAAACAAAATTTTAAGTGAACTTTCAGAGGACAACGATTTGCCAAAAATCAGTAGAAGCAAATTATGGGCCGTCTTACGACAGTTGAATTTTTGCTGGGAAAAGCAGAACAGGAAGTCAGTTCTTATCGATAAAGATGAAATTATTTGTTGGCGAAGATCCTACTTAAGATCAATTAGAAAATTCCGTGACGAAGGGAGGAATATTTATTATCTAGACGAAACTTGGGTCAACGAGGGATATACTGTAACAAAAGTATGGCAAGATAAAAATGTAAACAGTTTTCGACAAGCATTTTTGGATGGACTTTCAACAGGGTTCAAGGCACCTTCAGGTAAAGGGCGAAGATTAATAGTGACACATATAGGTAGTGCCAGTGGTTTTGTAGATGGCGGTTTACTTTTATTTGAATCTAAAAATACAGGTGACTATCACGAAGACATGAACGCAGATGTTTTCGAAGAGTATTTTACACAGATGTTGGATCTTATTCCTCCGAGGTCTGTAATTGTCATGGATAATGCCAGTTACCATTCACGGCAGACCGAGCGGACGCCTACGACTGCTTGGAGAAAAGCCGATATAATTCAATGGTTATTCGGAAAAAACATTTCTTTTGAAACAAATATGGTGAAAAAGGAACTTTTGACACTTGTCAATCTTAATAAAGATCAGAAAAAATATGTTATCGATGAAATGGCAACAAATCGCCAAATAACGGTACTATGGTTACCACCTTATCACTTAGTCTGGGCGCAGGTAAAAGGAGATGTAACGCGAAATAATACGACGTTTAAATTAAGTGACGTGAAAATTGTATTAAAAAATTCCTTGGAACGAGTAACTGCAGATAACTGGCAAAGATGTATACATCATGTACAAAAAGAAGAGGAGAAAATGTGGGAACTCGATAATTTAATTGACGTTACTGTGGAACCTATCGTTATCAATCTAGGAGACGAAGATACTTCATCAGAATATTCAGAGGATGAATTTTAATATACCTACTTTTTTATTTTCTTTATTGTATATTTATACAACACTACATTTACTCACCATAATTTGAATTTTCAAAATACATATATTTTTGTGTGGAATAAAAGTCTATTCATTAAATTTAAATAAATATTTTGATAATAATATTGAATAATTTTATTTGAATTACTAAAAACCTCTTAACCCGGTTATGATGCTTAAAGTAGCCTCATGTTTTGAAATGCTGTTTTTATATTGTTTACTTATAAGATAAATGGACCGAGAAGTTGAAGCGGCATAGAAGACGGATTGTCGGGGATTACATTTTAGCTACCTGCTACAATTTGGTACAACCCGGTCACACAAAGTTTTTTTAAAAGTACACCTCATCTATACCTATAATACATAATATAAAAATATTGAATATAAGCACCAGTACTACATTTATTTACGATTTGCATACATAATAAGCACTCTCTTTCATTTCTAAACAGACTTATAAATATTTTGTTTTTTATCTTGTAAAAGATTGCAGTCAACGTACCAGTAAATATTCCGTGTAACCTTACAAGGGTACTACTATCTTATTGTTGATTTCTCCATATAGGTAAAATAATTCTTGACACAGGTGTTGCATATAATGGATGCCATTGGCAGTGCTCACATTTGTGACACAGGGTGTTTAAAAGATTAAACAATGTAAAATTTCCTTAAGAAAAGTCCCTTAATTTTTAATTTTCTTGAAAATTTTATTTAATATTGTTGGAACCTCAAGGTGTGGTTGAATAAGAAGATTATTAAAAAAAAGTAAAAAAGCATCAATCAATGATCCCTTACAGAGATAAGATGATGCGTTCGCTACTGCTGTTGCAATTTTTGACAAACTCTTTTTGTTTTTCAATTTACTGACTTCGGACCTATTACATTCAACGCAAAACGGACAATCAATAGGAAAGATTTTTTAAATTATTTTTGCGATTCCTAGTTATAAGGCCTTTTTTTACTGTATGACATCATTCACTATTACGGGCATGGGAAAATTTATAAAAATTGGTAGGTATTTTAATGTTATTTCGTTTTTAGGTATTCTCCTTATGTTGTCGTTATGTTTCAAAACATATTCGTAAAATATATTATAAGGGTTAGTCATAAAAATAGTTATTTGTTATTTCAACAATGTATTTTAATTTTTTACGATTTTTTACTTGAAACGGAGGTATATCATACCAGCAAATTTTGATAATGTCAAAAGAAATAAAGGAGAAATCCTACATTTGTATTTAAATTTTGTTCCTATCTTTAATCTTTTAAGCTGTAAGCGAGTGTCAAAATACAAACAAAAACCCTGATTAAATAAATTTATAAAAAATAATACATTAAATATTTTTTTAAAATGATGTTACTAACTGTTTAAGATATCATTATGAATTTGTTCATTTGGAAATATATTTTCTGCAGTATCTCAATACCAAAAAATGAAAATAGTAGCTAATTAACGAAATTATGATTAAATAACTACATACTACAATTTACTACATTCCTCAAAATATTTTTATCATTTAAGTATGTAAGTTTATAAAAAAGTGTACAAAATTAATCCATGCGTACGCGTGACAACATTGCCAAACTGTTGTTTATGCGTTGCTAGGATACGCGTATAGGAATGTCGGCTGCTGCATTTGAATCTTCCTAAAATTCTGCTGGTGTTGTACTCTATCGATAAATCGGAAATTTAAAACTGCTGTCCCGTTCCAGGCGCTGCGCTGTCTGGAGAGAAGGTATATTGTATGTGGTGTTAGAAATACATTGTGAAAAATTAACAAACATTTTCTGTATGGAGGGAACAATGACATGAAGGAGGACATCGGCTTAAAAAAAGGCATAAATATCCTAATAATTAATTTACAGTGGGTTTGAATTTTGAGTCAGTCACAGTACGTTTTTCATACTAAAAATTAATAGTTTCTATTAGGCTTTACTTTATTGCAAATTATTTTCCTATTCCAGTATACTTACGACACGTCATTCCTACGGGACAACATTTATCCAATTCGTATTTGTCGTAGCAACCAGGCTTCAAATCAAAACTCTGCCCATTGACACAATATATTAACAAACATACAAAACTTGGAGTTCTAAAAATATCTAGCCATTAGTAGAGGTCAATGAAGATTACGATACTGTTTTGCTTAAAACGTTGTTTTTATATTCAGTATCTCCATCTACAGAACCATCCGGACAGACAGCGAACTTAAGAACTATGTTGAACAACGTTATAATCAGTTTGTTACTGTATAACGGTAAGGACTTTTTCACCAACACATATACCATACGCGCCTAAAGTATGGAATAAATTCAGTAAAAACGAAACAAATTTTTTTTGGGGGAAAATCCTCGAACAGGTCGATTTTTAATTTAAAAAATACATATTTTAGCATAAAAGGCGATTTTCAACCGTCGTTTGTTTTCGAGTAATGACGTCATCGACATTTTTTTAAATAACAACCCCCTATTTTTTTTCTTGATTCTGAAAGATCGTTTCATTGTCGATCCGACAGCATTAAATTATTGCCATCTTACATAGGAAAGTTTTCGAGTAAATGACGATTGAATGTTAGAAAACCCAAATCAATTAAAATAAAGCAAAATCGTTATCAAATTACGTAGGTGTAAATCTTTACAAAGTGTCACTGTCATACCGACTTTCTAAGTATTGTAAACGATATAAAAATTATTGTTGAATTTAAAGTATTATGGCACATTTAACACACAAAGAAATGAAATTTTAATTCTTATCGGATGCGGGGATAAGAGTAGAACGCAACAGGGAATTTGCGATTTATTTAATGAAAAACATCCAGGTCGCCGTATCAGCTAATCAACAGTCAGTAAGGTAGAATCTAAATTTAGAGAAACTGGCAATGTTGTAGATATTCCAAAATCTGGACGTCCAAGCGTTAGTGAAGATCACAAACAGAACATTTTGATAAGTATGGTAGATAATCCTCATAATACTTCACGATTGGTTGCATTAAACAATGAAATTAGTTAGACCACAGTGTTACGTATCCTGAGGAAGGAAAAATATCATCCCTACAAAATTCAACTTGTGCAGGAACTCAATGAAGACTATTCCGACCGCCGCTTACACCTTTGTGAAATTATGATGAATTTATGTCAAGTAAATAGAGATTTACACCGGCAAATACTTTTTTCAGACGAGGCCACGTTTTGTCTCAATGGTACAGTGAACCGTCAAACTTGCAGCTATTGGAGTCGGGAAAATCCTCATTGGATGGCAGAGACACATACCCAACACCCACAGAAATTAAATGTGTGGGCAGGAATAGTTGACAACAGAATAGTAGGGCCTTTCTTTTTTGCAGAAACCCTTACAGGAGAAAGATATTTAGAGTTTTTACAAAATGACCTTGTTCCAGCGCTTGCAGTAATTTTTCTTAACGATAATGACCCTGATATTCCTGATGACACCATATGGTTTCAGCAAGACGGTGCACCTCCGCACTATGCGCGCCCTGTTCGAGATTTTCTGGACAATTGTTTTTTTAGGGGGTGGATCGGCAGACGAGGACCGATAGAATGGCCCGCGAGATTCCCAGATCTTACACCCCTGGACTATTTCTTATGGGGCTACTTAAGGTCCAAAGTGTACGTTAATAAACCCATAATTTAGAAGAACTCCAAAATTATTGTATTATAGATAAATACACAGAGTTACCCCAATTTCTACACAGACTTGAGTATTGTCAAGAAGTCGGTGGGTGGCAATTCGAACACTTAATTTAGGTAGAAAACTTAATGAATTGTATTTGCTTGACATAGGAATTGTTATTTTTTTATGAATAAAATTTGCGTTTTCTAACATTCAATCGTCATTTACTCGAAAACTTTCCTGTGTAAGATGGCAACATTTTAATACTGTCGGATCGACAATGAAACGATATTTCAGAATCAAGAGAAAAAAATAGGGAGTTGCTATTTAAAAAAAATGTCGATGACGTCGTTACTCGAAAACAAATGTCGATTGAAAATCGCATTTTATGCTAAAATATGTATTTTTTAAATTAAAAATCGACATGTTCGAGGATTTTTCCCAGAAAAAAATTGTTTCGTTTTTACTGAATTTATTCCATACCTTACTCGCGTACGGTTATGTTTTTGAGGAAAATGGCAAATCACGATATCCATTTGATCACACATTGCATTTTACGAAAAAAGCATCACGGGACAAAAACGTTTCTAAATTTAATGGTTTTCTAACGCACAATAATTTTTCAGAAATTTAAATATGCGACCAATTTTTTTTTTGCTCCAAAGACAAGGAGGCCCGCGAAAAATTGTCTTAAGGAGGTTCCCCGCGAAAAAACGTAGCACGTTCAGATTCTACATGTCATAAAATGCCTCTGTACCAAATTAGTGATTCTCGTACAACAGGGTTCTGAGATATAAAAAAAGATTATCCTTAGGAGCGGATTTCAGGGGGCTGCAACCCCAAACGAGGGGCCCACTTGGCAAAAATGAAAAATACGAGTCCCCTAAATTTGTCTTAAGGATCTGTAACCAAATTTTGTTGCATTAATTCGGGACACCCTGTATTTTTGAGAATATGTTTCCCATGAATCATTAAATCTCTGTTTAAGCAAAAGTCCAGGCAAAATTGTATGCATTTTATGGGTTTTATGCTATAATAAATGCGTACCCATTATTTGAGCTTAAAAAAATATATTAATTTAGATTACCTCGGAACCAACAGTAGGCCAGTATTGTCGAAAATACCTCGTTTTTTGCCAAAATTTGGTAGAGTAAACAAAGGCATGTAAAAATTGGTAAAAATTTCTAGAAATGAATGAATAAAGAAAAGAGCTACATTTTTCTACCCAAAAAGAGAAGTCTTTTCGGTAGATTTTTCGCATATTTCCAATTATTTTGCAATACGCGCACATTTTGCATAGGAAAGTACAACTCTTTGAAAAAATATTAAGCTTAGGATGGGTCACATAATAATGTATTACTGTATGATTTATTGAAACTTGAAAAAATTGTATTTTTTCCAAAAACTCCATGTTTGCAAAAACTGTCAACTATTTTACAATTTTACAAAAATGCATTTATTCGACTTGCCAAGGACCATATATTCTGAAAATTTCGTAAAAATATCTTTTCTCGTTTTAGAAGATACAGAAGTTTCAAAAAAATGCGATGTTTACCCGTTTTTTTTTGCAATAACTAATATATTTGTTTATCAATTGACATTGGGATGAGCTCAAAATTTTTGTTATAAAAAATTCTAGAACATTTGTCTAAAACATTTTTTTCTAAAATGTTTATTTTTCTTAAATGAAAAAAACTGGTTTTTGCGAACCTTAGATGACATTTTGAACATACAGCTGGGGTATAGTAGTTCATTCAATTATATGGAATTTTTCCTAATTTTTACGTGTCTCTGTTTGCTAAACTAAATTTTGGCACGTAAAAATCTAATCTGACCGGACTAAGGTCTTTTAATAAAAATCTATGTGCGTACTTTTTATTTAAGCAAAAAAAACACGAATTTAAAATAATTAAAATAAATAGACTGACTAGGAACTCACCACGAGGCACTACTAGTCTTCACGAATTAGAAACACATTTTAAAATAATATACGAGGGGCATTAGAAATGTTTTAAATCTTACCCGAAATAATTATGGCAGGTACACTCCGCGCCGCAGTCTTCATTAGTTAATTCATTTCTGAGTTGTCCATATAGTGGGTAACTTTTCCCTCTAAAGAAACAAGAATCGATTTTCTGGGATACATCGTCGCATTCGTACTGTATAGCGCAACCCCTGCCATCTTTCTTCACTGGCCTACAGGCCATATCCTCATAGATGAGGGTGCCTAAAGAGTCGCAACTTTTCTCAGCTGGAAAAACAGAAATTATAAGCAATAAACAATAAAATTACCTCACAATAAGGTTTAAGGCACTAAAATTTATTTACAATGCTAATGAAAAAAGTATATACAGGGTGATTCAGAACTTATAAAAAAAAAAAAATTCTGGATGTACAGGGGATTCTTACAAATACAATTTTGTAAAGAAAAAATCAAAAAGGGCAGTTCGAAAATGATTTAAAAATACAATTCTGCACGGCACTGGAAACTGGTCCACTGTAAAACCTGACCTCGCACAATGCGACCGGCATGACGGTGTGATAAAAACGGACAAAAACTTTTGCAAGGAAAGAAATATGTAAATAGAATTTTATCGCACCTATTTTATATCGGCAAATTCAACTGCTTTTGCCTTTATTAATTAATAAAATTAATTTGTGTTTTTAAATAATAAAATCATTTGACATACCCGATGTTACAACAATTGTCCAAAATTTTATCCACCAATGTGTAAACACATTTGGGTCCGTTGTACTCGGTTTCTACGAACTAACACAAATGTTGTCTTGTTTCACCATAACACAAATGCTTCACCATAAATTAAAACGATATCCATCAACTCCGAGTACACGCAAACCATTTTTGACACTAACTACCCATTTTTGACACTAACTATGTACTAAAAAGTAACTGTAAACACCACAGATAACAGGTAAATATCGCAACGACGATTGCAAAATCCGAATTCAGTATTCGGAGTCGCTGAGGCCACGTAGCGAATGACGCTAGAGACTACAGTTGTCCAGCTATGTAGTGGTTGAATGTACTATAACTTCAATATATTTTTTCTTCGAAACTATAAGGATTTTACAAAAAATTTTTTACGATATTGATTCCATTTCTCATGCTGCATCTATTCCCAAATTTTTTTGGATAAGTTGTGAATCACCCTGTATAGTTTCCAAAATGTCATTATACATACTACAAAGTTAACTGTACAAGTCCCGCATTGCTACTTCAGTTTTATTATGTATTTGTGCCATTTTTATATACAGGTACTTATTTTTAATTGTTACAATTGTGCTTCTTACCTTTTACGCTGACGAAGACACCGAAGGTCAAACAAAGGGTGGATAATATTACACGAAACATCGCTGCTCTTGTACTGTTGTACTGATTACTGTAGAGTGTGTGTGGGACTTATATCGAGACAAAAAAAGTAACCTTTATAAATAGAAATGTGTAATTATCTTGTAGACAATTTGACAATAATTTTAATCAATATTAAAATACGCGTTTATATATTTCCGATTATATTCGACATTATATAACAAGAGTTTACTAACGCTGCATGATAACCTATCAAATAGTTATTAAGTATTTTGAATATCCTGCGTAAGTTTTAAAAATATTTCAGACTATTATGTTGACTCCCCTTTCCATTTTGAGTTAAGTACTTTACTTTCAAGAAGTTTTAAAACCTGCTTTAAAAAATTTGATTTGACTGAATATTCACAAAGTTCTAATTGTTTATAAGTACAAAAATTCGACCAATGTTTAAACAAGCGCCAGAGCTCTCCTAATTGACGGATTCGAATTTTTCAAAAAAAGTTTGAAAGCCTGAGAGCCCTTCTATATGTGATTAAATTTTCAAGTATCTAAGGGCCTTGGTTTTTGCTGTGCAAAATTTTGAAAATTTGCAATTTTTTTTTTAAATCTGGATTGCAAAATTATTATGCAAAATCTATCGAACCGATTTTGATGAAATTTGGTGTGATGATTCTACATAACATGAAGTTTTCTTGAGCCAAGTATAAAGGTCCTACACCCAATTTAAATACACCAAAAAAATTCCCTAAAAAGTATTGTTTTTTAACCCCATTTTTGTGATTTTTTCGATTTTTACCATAATAATCATGATTCATTCGATTTGTAACCAGTCATGTATTGTAAAAAATTTAATTACAAACATTTTTTTCCTCTTCCATTTTCGCCTAAAATCAACTCTTAAAAAGATACATAATTAAATAGGAAGAAAAATATGACATTTTTCCAATTTTTTTAACATATTGTGCCGTCAAAAGTTAAGCCCACGTTTTTTTTTATGCGCATAGAAAAATTTTCATTTCTAGTGATATTTGAAAGCCAAAAAGCCAAATATCTCCGTGGATATACGATTCACCCAAACCAAAACAGATACCGCCTGGTCTATATGCATTTATGGGCTTAAAATTTAGTAAAAAAAACACTGAATAAAAACCTTAGTTTGTGTATTTGTAGAGGTCGAGCGTCATATTGTTTATAACAAAGGAAAAAAAACTAATTGCTCTTTTTTCAGTTTTTCTCTTATATCTCCGAAAATAAGCCTCTAATCGATTTTGTTCCTGAGGAAATTTGTTACAAGGATAGGCATTTGCGAAAGCCCGCAAATATTTTTTTTACATTGCAAAATTAGCGGTGAGAAAACGTGAAAAATTTTCAGCATTAAATAAAAAAAACGAATTTGACTGAAATTGGATGAAACTACAGGAAAAGGTAACTGTTGTGGTGCTCAACAAATACTCGCAATCCGGACTAAGAAAAAAAAAGCGTTTCGATCCGAGCAATAGCAGCCGAGATATTTTTTTTCTTTAAACGATATTTTGGCTGTTCTGTTTAATATTTTGTAATAAACTTGGTCTCGTTACTTAAGAAATGGATTGTGACACTTAGAAAGCAGCTACCAGGATGTTTTTTTTTAAATGTGGATCGGAGGTATGGAACGAAATTTCCATCAACAGATTATGTTCTCGGACGAATCCACTTTTTCTACAAATGGCATTGTTGCTTCACAACATTTGCCATATTGGAGTTCCGAGAATCCTCATTTTAGAACACCATATAGGCGCAATAGATATCTACATAAATTTATTTTAAAATACATTTTTCTGGCGTTTTTACTGATGTATTTTCACACATCCGTACAATGCACAAGTAATAGTATTAGACTAGGCGGTATCTGTTTTGGCTTGGGTGAATCGTATATCCAAGGAGATTTTTGGCTTTTTGGCCTTCAAATATCACTAGAAATGAAAATTTTTCTATGCTCTCCTAATTAACGGACTCGAATTTTTCAAAAAGCGTTTGAAAGCTTGAGAGCCCTTCTATAAGTGATTAAATTTTTAAGTATCTAAGGGCCTAGGTTTTTGCTGTGCAAAATTTTGAATTTTTCAAAATCTGGATTGCAAAATTATTATGTAAAATCTATCTAACCGATTTTAACGAAATTTGGTGTGATGATTCTACATAACATGAAGTTTTCTTGAGCCAAGTATGAAAGTCCCAACCTAATTTAAAAACCTCAAAAAGATTCCGTAAAAAGTAATGTTTTTTAACCCCATATTTGGCGATTTTTTCGATTTTTACAATAATAATCATGATTCATTCGATTTGTAACTATAGTACGATCGTATTCGATGCAAAGTAGAGCAAAAAATTGTCGGTCTTTTATCAAAGGAAAATCGTGTCATTGTTTTTAGGAGGCGTCAGATGAACCGTTTCAAATTTAAAATGAAATTGAATGTAAAATCTGAAATCTACGCACTGTGTTCTGGTACTAGCTGTAGTCGGCCAGGTGCATCGAGTGTACGAAGTGGTCGGTTATACGTCAAATACTAACCTGGCGAGCTTGATCGTAGAGCAGGGAACAATAAACAGTGGCGCGTACAGAGGTGAAATGTAGTACATATGTGGAATTTAAATAACGAATTGGATTTATAATAAATTACATTTAAAACAAATAGTTTATGAGAATAAAGGGATTTTTGTAGGAACAGGGTTCCAGACGTGAACTGATCTCTTCATCGCACCCCATTACGATTCTTTTTTTTATAAGGAGAACGAAGTTTCAAAGCAAAAACCTTGTATAACAGATATACTATAAATATTTACAGAATGAAAACAAAATATAAATCCTATGATATGATTCTATCAAATGAAAACACTAACAACAATTCTCTACCAATCTCAACAAAATAAGTTATTTTTCTATCAAACAAGAAATGTTAACAAATTATAAACAAAATATAAATTCTATGATTTATGTACTGTACGCCAAACTGCATTTTTCTCATCTTCATTTAATATTAATTTCTTCTTTGCACCCCCTTTTTTAGGTTTCTTAACGTCTCCTTCAATTTTCTTCTCTCTTAAAATTTTGAAAACAGATAATTCGCTTA